ATCAGAAGTTATCAGGCACATAAAGAGAAAGGAAAGCATGATCCATAAGGAGGAGAAAATTCAGTCTATTAATCTCTTAAGCCAAAGCTGACACAGGTATTAGAAGTAGCAGGGAAAGATATTGAAACATTATAAATGTATTTCCTGTGATCAAAGCTAAATACATACATGAAAGATATTAAAAGGCAGACATCAAACTTCTGAGGACAAAACCTGTAATGTCTGAGATGAAAAACACATTGGATGGGTATTAGCAGATTAGACATGGCAGAAGAAAATGTTAGTAAACTTAAAGGTACAGCAACAGAACTACCCACAATGAAAGGCAGTTAGAAAAAATAAAAGGGAATCAAACACAGTGAAATGAGGACTAACAAGTTACAGGACAACTTAAGCTAGACAACTCCAATGTATGTGTGATTGGAATCCCAAGGGAGGCAGGATCAGAAACATTTGAAGGAATAATATTGAAAATGTTTCACAGTTGATGAAAACTGTAAACCCACCAAGGCTGGAAGCTCAGCAGATGCCAGGACTGGACTTGCTGGCCAGAGCAGTAAGGAAAACCAACACAGAAGAAATAAAAAGGCATCCTAAGTGAAAGACAGAAAAATGTCTTTTTTTGAGGGTGACACGATCACCTATGTAGAAAATGCGGCATTTTCTATTAAAAAAGCTGCTAAAACTAGTAAGTGGACTCAGCAATGTTACAGAATATAAGAACAATTTTTAAAAAATCTTAAGACGCTGAGCCGAAGCATCTCATTATGCTTTATTGCTAAGCTACGGGAAAGACTCCTCTACTTATTTTTGTTTTGTTTTGGTTTTAACCTGCTCTGCTCCCTACTCACCAAAAGGAAAGGTCTACTGAATTGAGAACTCTTTTGTTAGGTGACATGTAAACAGTTGCTTTCTTCATCACCCCCATGAACTGAGTGTGACCCTGCCCGCATCTTCCCACAAAGGGCTTAGTTCCCCCAAGTTGTATGGCTTCAGTTTTCTTGACTTGGTTTATCGTCTTTCTTCTGTTGGCTAACTTTCCATTGGCCCTGTGCTCTAGGAACTGTGCAGCTCACCACAATAACAGTTATATTTTTGGCTCACGTGAATTAGTCTTGAACATTTTGGCTAAAATAAGTAGAATCCCTCATAGTCCCACACTGCTTAAGGCTCTGGGTCCTTTTATCTTTTTCTTAACATGTTTCAGCCTGGATTTTTCATTTCAGTATTTTGTTTGTAAAGAAAGCTGTGGACTGATCCCACTTTTGATTATGCTTTTTTAATTTCATGTAGGAAATTTATAAAAATAAAATTGAAAGTCTATTTATCATCACGTCTCCAAAAGAAGAATCAAAGTAGTTCCACGAAGGATATAAATGACTTACAGGGTTTTTTTTTCCCCCCATAACCATTTTTTTTTTTCCCTTTGAATGTAAGATTGGGCTCTGGGCCAAGATATGGAAGTTTATTATAGGACTTGGTTGTTTATTTTCATGCAAAATAGATGTTTTTATACCAGCATAAAAAGTTGGAGTTGTAGGGGATAGTCTCACCTGGAGTGGCATGAAATGGATGTAAGACCCCCATTCAAAGAAAAAAAAAAGCTTTACATCTAATTTTAAGGGGCATGAAAATTCTCTCTTGGATTGAATTATGTTGCCTGACCTGAGAGGGAGAAATGCAGATGTGCCTTCATTATTCAGAACCAGCATAGGTCTGTCGACCTGTGTCCTTAGTCATAGTATCTCACTGTTGCTAGAAGATCTGCTCCACAGTAACCTCTCTGCACCCAGGCAGTATTTTGTCAGACATTTTCTCAAATTTTAGTGTTTCGTGTTCAAGAAAACTCCAAACAGGTTCATTTATCCCAGTTTTGAGGGACTGTTGATTGCCTAATGATTCTTAGTGCTTTACCAGGAAACCACGACTTTTAAAAGAGAGATGACTTAAAGAGGCATTATTTGGGTTTTTCTGTGACCATGGTGAGTGCCTGATAGCTTCAGAAGCTTTTCCAGCTGAAATTATTTTGGCTTTGTCCTGTAGTGTAGACATTTGGGGAATTCTAGGACCAGCCACAAAAACAAACTTTCGTAGTGAAATGGAACAGGAAGCTGTTGCATGGACATTGGGTTGCTCTTAGAATCAGTCACCAGGCAAGCTGGAGACGGGGCAGGAGCAGAGTGAGGTGAGCTGCTAGAGCCAAATCAGCCTGAGAGCCAGTCCTGTGAGAGTCCTGCTGCTAGTTCAACTGGAGCCAGGGTGCTGTTGTTGGAGCCGCTATCCTGACTGGCAGTGGACGCTGCACTGCTCCCCTGGGGCCCGGGCTCCGCTGCGCACTGGCACCGCTGCTGTTAGATGAGTCCTTTAGCCCCGTTCCTGTGCATCACCAGCCTCAGACCCCAAAATCCAGAGTACGTGTGGCCAGTGGTCACGCATCATCTCCTACCTGTGTCCAGGGATCTTCCTCCACCGAGACTCCGAGTGGAAATTCTCCAAACACAGGAAAATGGCATAGATCCCAGGCAGACAAAAAATGTCAAATGTTCACTCCAGGCAGGGCTAGTCAAGTAGTTGTTTGTGGCCTGGAATAGAGCTCGAGCCCTGGGGTGGTTCTCATGGCCCATCTTGAGAGGCATTTCAGAACTGAGGTATTCTCCTACTTAGCATGAATGGACATTTAAACCCTTGGTTTTGCTGTGATTTTGTGTTTGGTTTTCTTTAATTTGCTGTTCCTGATAATGAACTAGCCCTGGTAAATGTTCTCTTGGTCTAGTAGAATTCTGCCTTTCTACAGTGAGTACAAACATTCCCTGCTGTGTTTATTTGAAAAAGGAGCAGGCATTTTCTATACTTTAGTGGCATATGGTGCTAAGATTTTATCATACTTTCTTATAAAGAGCCAGGAAACTTTCTCTGCTTAAAAATGTGTGTTTATAAACAATAGGCTTGCAGTGAATATTCCCATCTGTTAGGTGAACATAATTTGTGTAGGAATTCCTGTAATAGGTGGAGTACTTTGCAACTTTTTAGTATATTTTTTCCCTGGCGAGACATTAGACTAAAGAGATGGTACAAAACAGCATATGCCTAATATTCATTTTTGTATCTGCTCCTCCCTGTGGTTTGAAAACACTACTATTTTTGTGCATTAGTACATGAGATTACTATAGAAATTCATAAGAATTTAAAATCTATTTAGGATACTGCAAAAAAGCAAGAGAATGGAATGGATAACAATTATTTAAATATGGAAATGTTGCAAATGATGAAACTGTTCATGTCATTTTTCAAGTATGTACTCCTATAACTTGTGTTATTTCATTTCCAAAAACTTTTGTGGACTTCATTGTAACTTAATCTCAAAACTCCTCCTTATTTATAATCATGGTATCTGACAGTTAAAGCTGCTCATCTTTCTAGCCTTGATTTGCAATTTAAATAAATGGCATTGACTCTCTGTGTTCAGTTTGATACTATTCTTATTATCCACACTAATTAATTTTTTGAAATGAGCCATTGCCCAGAATGAAATAAAATTTTGAAGATTAAAACTCAGTAATTTTTTTCATAAAAGATTTTATTAATCTTGTGGGAATATCAAGATCATTATCAGAGGGAAAACATACTTTGATTAATATTTGCTTAGTGCTGAATGACCTAGATTGTCCAAATGTTTTATTCACTTAAAAATTATGCCTTTAAGTTCCTTTTTCAGGTTGACTAATTGGACATACTTGAGTAAAAAGATGAGCAATCAGTTGAATGTAAGCAATTTCAAGCTATGCTTAGGAACTGAGCCAAGAAAGCGTACCGTTCTTGGTGCTTTTTACCTCATTTTTAAAAGTTTCTCTGATTATCCTTTGTGAGAAGTATTCTTAAATTGAAGATAACTATTAACAGAACATCTTTGTAATAAAGGATAGCATCGCTGAGTTTTCTCTTTTTGGGGAAATAGGCTACCATTTGATTGGTTGTTAGCTCTCTTTTTCTTTCTTGTGGTAGGCAACTTCCTTTTTGTAAAAAGTGTCCAGGACTCAGCCTTATTCTTGATTTGTTTTTGAACATGGCCTAGAAACCAATTAAAGAACTCTCTTAGGTCTTATGAAAGGTTTGGGCTCTGGAGCTGTAACACTCACTTGAAGTGGTCCTTAGGTATAAATTGTACTTGCTTATGGATTTAAAAATATCCTAAGTTATAAAACTAACAGTAAACTGAAAGCGGGGCTTTTATGGAATCTGTATCTTCTAACTACTTTTTTTCCTTCTATAAAATGTTACTGAAGTTTTTAGAAAGGCATTGATTTGAAGGACATGATTACTTACAGTCACATAGCATTGAAAAATACCAATGAAGTCACCTTTCAGTTAACCACAACATTTTTAAAGTTAATGTCAGTCCACATGCAGAGAAGGAAGCGAGGGAAGTGTGTGAATTGTTTTGGCAGGAGAGGGGGTCTATAACTGTGAGCACAGAGGGGAATTGTGTCACCATGTCGCTGCTCTCTTTGCCTTGATGACCCCTATATCTCATCCTGAAAATGTTATTTGAATTTTTAGGTAGAGTAACATGACACATTATGTAAAGTTTATTGCCAGGTCTAGAAATGACTTCTAGAGATTCTGAGAGAATTATAAACACCTTTTACTGAAAGGTCTAGTTTATGCATAATGACCCATAGCTATTTTACATTTGTCATTTCGTCAACGACTTGTGAGTGTTGTCTACTACGTGCATGGCAGGGTGCTAGGTGCCAAGAGCAAGTGATGGACAAGGCAGATCTAGAACCTAGCTTGGGGTACTACTTACTGACAGCCTTGCTGGGGAGACAGACATCGATGATGTAATCTCACAAATGGCAGTTGGTGAGTGTGTCGACCAGAGAAGGATTGCACAGACAATAATTTACCAAAAATAAAATATTTGTTGAGTACTTGCGAAATGAGATGCCAGAGCTACTCTAGATATAGAAGCATTAACACTTCTTTTTGGTATTTGGCAGGTATATTATCCCGTCTTTACAGAGGCTTGATGCTGGGTTTTACCGCTGTGTGGTGCGAAACAGGATGGGAGCTCTCTTGCAGAGAAGATCAGAAGTTCAAGTCGCATGTATGTGTGCATTGGAAAAGTCTCTGAATGATAAATAACAGAAACAAAATGTCTGTGGGGAATGCTGATCAAAATCACTTTTAACCATTGTAGGAATCGAGATTCTGTCTTGGATTCTCTTTGGAACAGAATAATTGCTAAAGGTTTTGGGAGATAAGTAAACAGGCAGTGAGGCTGGTCCAATGGTGGTGATGGGGCTAATGAGGTCAATGCCCGCCCTGGCCATCCAGCAGTCAGGGGCTCTGTCAGGCCCTGTGGAGGACAGAAAACAAAGTATTAACAAGATGCCTTCTGCTTTATGATTAGCTGCTCTTAGCATTTCTGATACTCAGATTCAAATGTTTTTCAAATAACAAATTAAACCCAGTTAGGTAAAATTTTGTCAGTTCAAAATTAGTTCTTTCCAGTGATTTGTTTAAAAATCCTTCAGCTACACAATAAAAAGTAGGTGGATAGTAATGCCCTAGATGGCATTACTGTTAGTGACTTGATGAGGTCTCTGTGGGGCAGACCCATTTGGAGTAAAAGTAACTGAGGGAGATACCAGACTGCAGGGAGTTTGTGTTTGATGTTGTATTTGGAAGGAATTGGAGACAGGCTGGCCAACACAAAGCACTTAATACTTTTGCAGTCCAAAATCTGTGAAGGGTCAGGTCTGTCTAAAATGGCCTTTCTGCTTTATTATGTTTTGAATTTACTACCAAAATGTCTTGTCATTGAAAAGAAAGCAGTATTTATGAAGCTTTAAGTTACATGTTACTATGTTATGACAGATTTCAGAGAACTCTAAGGAGTTCCTAAACTGAGCTGTCAACCAATAACTAGAATGTTTTCTTATTTGTTTTTTTTGACCACAGGTAAGGCCTATAGTTTTCAGCATTACTATATCAAATAAAATAATTGCTCACTACTCTACTATTCTGTAATTACTAGTGACTGAGTGAGGTACTGGTCCTGTATACATTTAGTTATGTTTTTAATTAGGAAGGCTCAACTTTTCTGAATTGTTGTAAAGTTACTCAGCTAAATTTTTCCACAGAATAACTGAGAACTTCTATTCAATTGAATAATTGAAAACATAATTAATACATACAAAGTTTAGATCAGTACCCCAAACATATTTGAATAAGTTAACAGCTTGGAATTTATTATCATGTATTAAATGCTATATGTAATATTATTTGGGGCTTTTTTTTTTTTGGTCAATTATTTGTACCCTTGTTTCTATCATTTATCTCTGGCTCTTTGATGTTCTCTTCTTTCTCTTTTCTCCTCCTTTTTGATAACAAGTTTCACTCTGAAAATAACTGTGACTATTTTCCTAATCTGTTTCATTAGTTTCATTTCTTTCCTAGAATATTAAATGCTGCTTATTACATAGGAACTAATTTCCTTTGAATAAAAACATGCATAGATAATAGAGATTTTCTATGGATTATTCCAAATTTATATACATTGAAAGGAATACACATATGCCACATGTGTGTATATGCATATATCTGTATCTAAGCATAATGTAGACATTTTTCAGAAGTTTCAAATGTTACTAATTTAAAAATTGGCCTCTTACACCTACATTCTAATGACTGGGGTTTTTTCTGTGACACCCATTTTTAAAAAATGCTGTTTACTGGTAGCACAGGGACTGGAACAAAGCCTGCTTGCCCCAGATTAAAGGAAACTGAACCGGGCAGCGGTGGCTGACTGGGTGGAACCAGCCTGAGAGACAGGGGAGATGGGGGGAGCTGCGGGGCGAGCTGCCGGCACTTCTTTCCCATCTCTGTGGTGGTGGGATGCTTTCCCACAGTTTATTCCAATATTAAAATCAGTTGCAAACGTTTCATTGTAGTGTTGCCGCGACACAAAGACCATGAAGTTCTGCTGATTAATGCATTTTGTGGGCACTTTGGAGGCACATGGCTCTGCCTCATGCTTCGCTTCACCCCCAGATCTGCACTCATCAGCATTACTGCTCAATCTCTCTTGTCTTATTGCTTAATTATAGCAACGTCGGTGACTTTGCTGTAATGTGTAGTTATTTCCATCTTTGACCCTTCCCCCTCCCAAAAAAAAAGAGTTTTCTGGAACTTAAAGGGTCTGATTTTTCTCTGCAGATATGGGAAATTTCATGGATACAGACCAGAGGAAAATGGTGTCTCAAGGACATGCAGTAGTTCTCAACTTACCACCCATCACCAGCTGCCCAAGACCGCAAGTGACCTGGTTCAGAGAAGGGCACAAGATCATTCCCAGCAACAGAATGTAAGTTGCTCCAAACTTTAAAACACAACTCATTCCACTTGTTGGCACCACTGACCTATTATTTAATGAATTTCACTATATCAGTTAAGCCTTGAAAAGAATAATGACCTCGTCTGGTAGTCTTCCCCCAGTCCTTCTAAGCAGCTTTTTGGAAAACTTGGCTTGGAAATGTTTAAGCAGTTTAAAGCAATCGTCGTGTCATGTTACTCTTCGGGATGCTGCGTGCCCAGAATAAAGCGTCCTTACTTAGTCGTTACGGTCTGTTTTTCCCTTTCTTGAATGCACTTTTTGAGGTGTCATTGTCATCCCTGAGTTGTGTTTAGCTCCAAGTACTAATTTAATGAGTGCTGGTATTTACTTACAGAGCTGTGGGGTTTTCCCCCCTCTTTTTACTGAGCCATGTTTGATACTACTTTCTCTGACAATAAAACAGTAATTACCGCTTATTTCTCTTTATCCTTTTATCCTACCGTGACAGTTTTATTTCCCTTCATCTAATTAGTGGTTCGCCCATCTATTGCAGAAGAGTTGCTTTGTGATTAGTTAAGCATTATTTCAAGGTGTTCCTGCCTATCCCACATTCAAGGTATTTATCTAATGCCAAACAGATTTTCTTCATTTAGAGCTTTAAGTGATTAAAAAGAACATTTGGTATATATTTCATAACTGGGCATTCTGCAATATAATTTAAAGATAATGTACCAAATATAAACATTTCAGGGATGAACATTTCTGAAAGAATCATGAAATGCTTATAAGCTTGGGCTAAAAGTCAAATACTTACACTGTCAGATGGTTGCACTCATACAAAAATTCATGAGAAGAAAATGGTTTTGTTTTGTTCTGTTTTTCAAAACAGATATGTATATAAAATAGTTTGCTGGAAAGGTTTTAAATGTAACTCTGAAAGTCACTGTGAGATGTCAACTTGCTTTCTCCCCTACCTGCCCATCCATCGGGTCCCTTCTCTAAGCCAGGCTCCATGGCTCTTCTGCCGGGGCCTCTGAACCTGCTTGACGCCAGACCATTCTTAGCCTTATTGAATACATGTTTCTAGTGTTATTATCGGAACAGGAAAAATATTGAAGTGTATAAAGGCCATATTTAAAAATTTAGTAAAAGTACTAATTACAGTAGAAAGTGAGATAACTGCTTTCCTTTTTATTAAGAGTTGCTTGGATGTCCACGTTTATATTGATTCCAATGATAATAAATGCCTCTCAAGGTAGGTGAAACAAAGAACAGGGATCAATTTTTCATTCTTTTAGAAGGCTGTTAGGCTGAACAAAAGGCAGCTGAGGTAGACTCTTGCAAAATATTCTGGAAGTTTCTGCCATTGAGCGCACTATGGGCTGGGCCAATTTGGGATGAATGCTAGGGAAGGGTGGGTGCTAGGGAGGGTGGGTAGATTGAAATAAGCTTCCTCTCCAAAGTTGTTGCTTCTAAGTAATGTCAGTGGGAACACAGTCCGTGGTAGAAGGATTAGTCTAACTCAGCAGCAAGCAGCTGTACAGGCTGTCACTTGTTGACTTGCCGTCTAGCCAGATTCACAAGGCAGCATTTATTCAAGAAGTATGGAAGGAGATAGAATGAAATGACAGCTCTTAATTTTATAAACTTTTCTTTTTCTACTTGCAGATTCTTGTTAAAACCGTTCAATTCCTGGCTAGCCGCTAATGTAAAGATGCTAAGTAGGCTTTAACTTAGTGTCCCATCAAACAAATGATCTGCGAAGCTATTGATAAATCTCCAATCTCAGTAGAATAATGCACCGGTGATCTTTTTTTTTTTTTTTCCTTAGGAGATGAGATGAGATGAGGCTGGTTATGGATATTTCCACATTTTCAGGGCCTTTTGTTTCATACTTTCCACCTCATCATCACCCCCATATTTATTAAGTCCCTGCTGTGCAAGATGTCATAAATCAGTGCCTGTGTGGTTTTCTTCCTAAGTTTATACATCATTCGAAGATATATTGCGTTACACTTCTAAGAAAGTTTGGCTTTGGATAGCAGTTGGGAGGGAGGGCATTTCTGCATGGCCCCTGCCCAGACGGTTGGCAGACAGGAGTCAGATGGCGTTAGATCTGTTGTGCACCACCAGAGGTGTCCTTTAAAAACTGAAACTTTGGCTGAAAGTGTTTCACTCTAGGGAAACAGGTCAAGCTTCTATACCTGTCAGTTCCCTAACATGGCTGTGGAGATGATCCATTGCCACGAGGAGGAGGAACCTCGTCTTGCCAGCCCCACCTCTTTACTTTTTTTTTTTTTTTTAAGATTTTATTTATTTACATGAGAGAGAGAGAGCATGAGGGGGAGGAGCAGAGTAAGAGGGACAAACAGGCTCCTCCCCGAGCCCCAGGCCCTATGCGGGGCTTGATCTCAGGACCCTGAGATCATGACCTGAGCCGAAACCAAGAGTCTGGACACTTAATGACTAAACCACCCAGGTGCCTCACCACTGTGACCTTCAGAATGTGAGCTTTTGGCTTACAATTAAATGATTTTTTTTTTCATTTTCAAGGAAAATAATAATTCTAATGTTTCCTAACTTGAAAAGTTAGTTGAATTGCCTATTAATAATTTTAACAGCAGCTGTTATTGAGTACCTACTTTAAACACATCCTCCCTGATCCTCACAGCTGTCTTCCGAAGAAGTATAATTAGTTGTGCTTCTAGAGATCAGACCGAGGATTGGGAGAGGTTAACCAGCCCACTCAAGGACACACCGCTGACCAATGGCAGAGCTGGGTTCTACCCCAGGCCTGTCTGGCTCTGAGTCTCATGCTGTCTTCTGCATCACACTAATTCTTCTTTTCACTTTATTTTGCCAAACCTTCTTGGTGCTTTTGATATCTCTTTCCCTATACTTCTTCTTTTCCTATTTCTCCCTTTTTAGAACACCAGTCTTCAATTTGAAATACTACAGGTTGCCGTGAGCCACAGCCACACACAGACACATTGTCCACCTAGCCCTGAGCCTGCCTGCAAGTGTATTATGTATTCGATGTATCGGGTCTGTAAGTCCTTAACTTCAGAAGTTTTTAACAAAAGAGAAGGCAAACATGGTTATCCAGTTAAGGCGTGGGCTTTATGAAATTCAGAGGCCTCGTGGGAGGTAAGGTGGAAATGATGTGTGTGTAGCACAGGGTGGGGGGCAGCAGGCCAGAGAGGGCAGTTGCTGTGTGCAAAACCCAGCACCCAATCCCTGACAGCCTCTTTGTTCTTGAGCTACACACTTGTGGAAGGAAGTGGTTTAAATTGTGCAGCAAAAGGAGCAGCAAAAATCTATCACCATCCCAGAAAATTAGCTGAAGTGAATGTCCCCATGGTGGGTGTGAGCTGCTGCACATTCACGTCAGAATGAGGGTAAAGGAAAAACTCACTAAGTTCTGATTGCACTTTGGGCTTTTCCCCCCATTCTTTTGCCGAGTAGGGCATACCACATCCCAGGTGCTGTGCCAGGCACCGAATATGCAGCAGGAAACAAAAGAAAGTCCTTGTCCTCAGGAACCCTGTCTCCAAGTAGAAGGAAACAGATGACATGCCAGCTGGTGATAATAGTAAGGAGAAAATGAAGCAGGGGCGGAGTGGGGAACGCAAGGGTCAGCTGGGTTGCTGTAGATGTAAAGTCAGAGAAGTTCTCTCCCCTAACCACCTCTTTGAGCAGAGACTAGAACAAGTCTGGGGAGGAGGCCTGGGGTAAACCAGTGAGAAGAGCACCTGAGGTAAGGGAACGGCACATGTGTTGGAGGAACAGCCAGGCCGGAGTGAGGGAGAGGGCTGGAGAGGAGGTTTCTGAGCTGGTTGGGCCCGATTCCTAGATGCCAGTGACTTAGCCAGAGTGAGGACTTTGGCATTTGTTCTGAGGATCCGAGCAGAGCAGCAGTGTGATCTCCCTTGTGATCCTTCTGTTAGGAATTCTGTGAGGAATGGACTATAGGGCAGCAGAATCCGAAATGAGGAGGCCTAGTAGGGGTTTGCTGCAGTAGCTCAGGTGACTCAGGTTTGGGGAGGGCTGGTGAGAAGGGGCTGATACTGATATATTCTGAACGTAGACTGCGTAGGATTTCCTGCTGGATTAGCTGTGGGGTATGAGAGAAGGAGAGGAGCCATGGACAACGCTAAGAATTTTGGCCTTCACAGCTGATAGGATGGACTTACCATTTCCTGAACGGGAGAGACGATTTGCTGGCAAAGCAAGTTCTGTCTCTGTTTGGGGGTGGGTGTCTAAAATTGGTTTTGTACATGTTTGAGATGCATAGTAGGTGGTCACGAGGATCCATTTGTGAGAGAGTTGTTTATATCAGACTCAAGGTCAGCAAAGAGGTCTAGCTAAACTTGGGCATTGTTAGTATGCTCGTGATTTTTAGACCTCTTTAATGCTCCGTATGAAACACCTAAGTCAGTAAGCGAAGCCCAAATAGTTCATCGTATCAGCTGAGATGCTCTTGGTCACAGGTCACAGAGGATGAGTCTGACCGAACTAAACAACCATGAACTGGAGTACTTGAAGAATTTCAGAACCAAGCCAGGAGAAGGACGGGGAGAGGGGGGGACCAGGGTGGGGAGATGCATACCGGGACTGTGCTCGAGGCCAAGGCGCAGGGAGCCAGTCAGCACTTTAATGGCTTCCCAGGAATGTGAGGTCCAATCTCCTGGAACTTGTAACTGTGTCACGTAACAGGGCTTATGGGGAAGAAGGCTGTAGAAGCAGGAGGAGACTCGTAAGGTGGGAAGGTGGGACAGAGGAGGAAAAGTGAAGTCTTAAGATGAGCGGAGGTGTGTTCAGTGCCGTGGGCCCACCGTGCCCGCTGCTCGCAGTGCTTACTCTTCTCACCTTCAGACATGAGCTGGTGAGAGTCACAACCCCGAGTGGCATGTTAGGTCGTTTCCTCCAGGAGTTTCAGTGCCCCCTGGGTACTGGCCATCGAAAACAATCTTGTTCTGAGAACTCCATCTTGTGCAGCAGATACACACTCCTGGAATGGCTGAGTGTGTGAAAAGATGTGAAGTAAAGTCAGTAATATTTGTAAACTTCCTCACCAAAAGTGGGGGGAGCATAACCTTGAGGAAAAATGCTATTGATGAAGGAGAAATCTATCTTAGAAAAGGCAAACTATACTTCAAAAGAAATGAGACTAAGTTATACTCAGAATTTTGAATAGGTAATTATAGGTTTTATTAATCTAAGAAGATGAAAAAAATGCGTATTTGTTTTTCTGATTTACTGAATCCAAATAGTTTGCTATCTTTGCATGTCAAAGGTGAGAATAGCCTTGTCTTATAAACATCGTCTAATTTGATAATAAAATTGTTCTGTTATTTTGGTTTTGATATATGTTCTTTGTTTCCTTTTATTTCTCAGAATGTGAAATGTGAACATTGATGTCGTGCAATATTTCTCCCACCTCCAGGAGGTAATTTATGTCGGCAGTTATCAGATTAGGACGCGAAAACTTGTTTTGTACTGTGCTACTCTCTGGCTTAATTGCAGGTTCTTGTGCTCAGACTGCGTGCGGCAGCCTACCTGACGGGAATGCAGAAGCACGGCGTACTTGTCTGTGTTTGCCGGGGAATGCGAAGTTTATAGGTTAAATATTTCAACCTCCAGTCAGCTTTTTGCAGGATGACTTGCCAGGGAAGATGTGAATTGTGAAGTATGGGCAGTAAACAGCATCCCAGGCGACGTGGAAACAGCCTGACTTGTAATTGTCCATGCTTAAATACTCGAATGTCCATTAACTTATTACCATTTCATTTCAATCGCTTCAAGAAAGATTTGTTTAAATTAGCGCTTGTAGTGGAAGTCACAACTTAATGCTTGAATGAAGTAGATCTGGTTGTAATAATATTTTTATAGTTAACTGGGCTTTCAAAATAATATGCTTTTAAAAATTTTATATTTTATAGGCATTTTGTGAATGTTTATAGAGTATGTCTATACATGTGAATTGAGCCCTATTTGCTATAAGTGAAAAAGACTAGGAGATGTGGGCTCCAGACCTGCTTCCATCATTAAGTCCGACCTTGGGCAAATTACTTTCTCTGCTTTGCTTCCATTTTCTCATGTCAAAGTGGGGAAGGTGTGCTAAATGACCACTGAAGTCCTTTCTGGTGTTCACACTCAGCCACGCTCGTGGAAGGGTAGGCCCGTTCTGCCTCTCCCTCTCCTCATGCATTCAGTAGATATTTACTGAGTGCTAATTTTTTGCCAGGCACTGTTCTAGCTGCCAGGGGCAGAAAGGTGAATGAGGCATTGAAGGTCCCGCTATCAGTGAGCAATGGCCTCACGTGGGAACAGGTTAATAAACAGGATACTCTCAGGGGAGGACAGGCACCATGAGGGATTGAACGGGGACTGGGATGGGAGAGCTGAGCGGGAGAGGGAGGGATCTGGTCGCTGCTCTACACTGGGTGGCCCAGGACAGCCTCTCTGGGCAGGCGACATTTAAACAACCACATTACTGAGGTATAATTTACGTACAACATGAACAGATTTTCAGCACACAAACTGATGAATTCTAGCAAATATCAGCCCCTTCCCAGTCAAGTTCCCTGGTGCACTTAGCACTCATATGCTCTCTCCAGCCCTGCCCACTAATCTAATTTTTATTACCATAGGGTAGTTTGTGTATTCCAGAATTTCTTATAAATGGGATCATAGAATATGAAATCTTTTGTGTCTGGCTTATTTCATTCAAGATAATTTCTGTGATACTCTCAGGACGGTGTTTAGTAAGAGTAATTATTAATATTTCTGGGTGCCGGCATTGTTTTAAGTGTTTTCCATGGAATGATTCGTGAGCTCCTCCCACCAGCCCAATGAGTCGTCCTGTTATTGTCCCCACTTGACTGATGGCTGCTAAGGTAGGGAGAGCGCAGCAGCTGGCCAGTGTCCTAGCACCCACTTGCCCTGCTGTGCTGACTGCTTTCTCAGCTTCTGTCTGTAGGGCGAGGAGCCTGCCCTGCATGGAGCTGGAGGACAAGTGTTCTTGGCAGAGAGGGCAAATACTTGCAAACCCAGGAAATAGCTGCTTGGGTTTGCTCAGCTGGAGGGACTGTTGTGCGGTTGGGGTGTGGAAAAGAGGCAGAAGGGAGTACGGGGGACACGGGACCTCGAAGCAACAGAGTCTGTGAAGGAACCTGGATTTATTCCATATACCGTAAGAAGTCTTTGTGGAGTTTGTATTTTTTTTTGGAAAATTTTTGAGATTGTGGTAAAATACATGTCACAAAAACTTTACCATCCTAACCCTGGTTCAGTGTACAGTTCAGTGGCATTAAGTACATTCGCATTGCTGTGTAGCTGTCCCCACCATCCATGTCCAGAACCTTTTCTTGTTCCCACACTGAGGCTCTGCCACCACTAAGTAACAACTCCCCACTCGGCCCTCCCCACCCCAGCATCTACTCTTCTGCTTTCTATCCCTGATTTTGATGTCTCCAGGGTTCCTCATGCGAGTGGAACCATGCAGTATTTGTCCTTTTCCCTCTTCTTTAATTAAACTTTGTATTTTGAGTTGATTGTGTATTCAAATAGAGTTGTAAGAAATAATACAGGCAGAGCCTGTACACCCTTTAACCACTTTCCCCAGGTGGTGAGATCCTTGCTACACTGTCGCACCAGATCACATTTAGGATATTGACATTGATAGGGTCAAAACAGGACACATTCCCATCACCAGAGGGTCCCTCCAGTCTTATTTATGGCCATGCCCCTTTCCTCCAGCCCTCCCACCCACCCTCTCCATTTCTATAATTTCATCACTTAGACCATGTTATGTAAGTAGAATCACGCAGTCTGTTGTAGGGTTGGCTTTCTTCACTCATCGTAATCCTCTGATTTATTCAGGTTATTGCCTGCGTTGGTGGTTGGCTCCTTCTCACTGTGTAGTGTTCCATGGTGCGGACATACCACAGCCTGTATAGCTGGTGGTGAAGGACATTTGGGTTATATCCGGTTTTCCACCATTTCAAATAAAACTGCTCTAAACAGTTGTGCACAGGTTTTTGTGGAAACAGAAGTTTTTTTTTTTGTTTTTTTGTTTTTTTTTTCTGGGATAAACACCGGGCAATGCAAGTGCTGGGCCAAATGGTAGCTGCATGTTTAGTTTCTGTAAGGAAACGCCCAGCTGTTTTCAAGAGCAGACGTACTATGCTATACTGCCCCCAGCAGTGTCTGGGCGATCCCGTTTCTCAGCCCCTTCTCTCGCACTTCGTGCTCACACTGTTTTTTGTTTTAGCCATCCTGATAGGTGTGTGATTATAACTCAGGGTGTTTTTAATGTGCATTTTTCTAATGGCTGATGATGTTGAATATCATTTAATGTGTTAATTTTAGAAGGAACCAAATAGGAAAAACTAAACCTCTTGAAGTGAAAAACACAATCATTTATCTAAAAAGTCAATTGAATCTGTGAGAGAGCAGACACTATGCAGCTAAAGTGGGAAATATTGTCCAGGTGGGTGTGAGGAAGAAAACTTAGAATAAAGCACAGAGATAAAAATGATGGAAAATATGGAAGACAGGCTAAGAGATAAAGAGGGTAGAATAATCACTCGAGCTCTAAGAAGAGGAGGGAAAGGTTGAGAAGAATGGGAGGAGATAATGTTCAGAGATAATTGTCCTAGCATTTCCTAAAATGATGGATCCTCAGAGTCAAAAGGCAGATTAAGCTCCAAGTAGGACAAATGAAAATATATCCAAATCTAGATGTATTATAATGTCGCCGTTGAACTTCAAAGACAAAGAAGAAATCTTAACAGCAACCATACGTGTAATTCCCGTTGCCTCAAAGGCACAGCCATTAGATCTCTGTGGGCAGCGATAGTAGAGAAGATAACGGACTAACAGCTTCAAAATTCCAAGGAATGTAACTGTAATTGTGGAAACCCATATCCTGCTAATCTAGTGTCCAAACGGAGGGAGGCGTGAGGATATTTTCAGACAAGACTGGGAACGTATTTTTCTGAGAGCTCCCCTGAGAGATCCACCAACAGCGGGCTTGAGGAGAAAGGAAGTAGAATGTTAGAAATGTTGGTCTTCATTTGATTTTTTTTTCCTGTTAGTAAATGTTTAGTAATTGTGGTTTTACTATGTTTAAATAAAAGATAAGGAAGGTGGAGGGAGCAGATGGAGATAGTTCTTTGGGCATATTTTTACTGGGAATGGCTGCAGAGAAAGGGCTAGTGTCCACATGGGCTACCTGAGATCAAGGGGGTGGTTTTTCTGTTGAGGTGGGAAATACCGGAGAATATTCGTATGCTGGCAGAAGCAGTTCTCCAGGAGGAAAGGACAATGTGAAGGGTCTAGGGAGCGTGAGCGCAGCTAGAGGAGCAAAATCCAGGGACGGCGAGAGGCCAGGTGGCCTGGGCACACACACAAACAGCATGAGAGGGAGGGCCTGGCATGGTGGGGTCCATGGGCTTACACCTGTACACAGGGGGCCTTCAGCAGGGAGCTTTAGAGAGAGTCAAGGACAGCTTCCACTGTCACAACAGAAGCCTAATGGGGGTGTGGATGCATGTTGTGTGGCAGATGTTCTTAGGGGAAATTGAGGGCTTTTAGGGTTTTCTTTCCTCTGTGAGTACTGAGAGGAGGTATGAGTTCAGAGTGGAGTGTGGCACACGATGAGAGGGAAGGTGCTGAATCATCCCGGCACTCAAAGCAAATGGAGAAACATGCTAGGCTCATGGGACCACCTGAGTGCACATGCATGGTTGCGGCTTGTGCTACTGGAGCTCTTCAGGAAGCTTTACAGGTTCTGTTGCAGTTGTAGGGAAGGCAACTAATTGGGTTCAGAGAAGGTGAAGTTTGCCTGTCGCATGGGAGTGAAAAACAAGGACATCGAGGGTGTTTGCAAGGGGGCGGTGGCTCTCAGTGGACTCGGAGTCATCTGAGGGAGCAATTGTGGGGTGGTCATACATGGCGGCGTGGAGTCAGAAGACCGCGGGAGCCCATGAAGGAAGAGGAACGACTGAGTGGGGAAGTGAGGGGAAGTGCTGCGCTGGGCCCCATGGATCCACTCATCCTCACCTTGGCCACTCCTTCCAGTCCCGGACAGCAGGTGTCTCTTCCCATTGGAATGGAGAGAGTGAGTATTGCAATGCAGAATTCTGGCCCAAGTTAAATTTTTGTAGGGTGAAACTTGACCCTTATGGAAGCCTAGAATGGGTCTATGTTGGGGAGAGGGAGCAGACCAGCAGAGAAGTTGCCACACCACCCCAGCTGGACTGTCCAGTGACAGGTGGCCTCAGGCCTCCTCTCTGAAGTCATCCTTCAAGTCAAGCACAGCTGCAAAGCTGAGGCCAGTGGGCTCCCGCCCTCCTTTGTGCTCTCTCCTCTCTCCCTTCTCCCTGTTTACATCGACCTCACGCACCTGGAGTGGGCCCACAGAGATGCTGCCCAAGTGACTCTTTTCCCCAGGAGACCCAGGGTGTGAGGTCGGGGATCTGGGATGGGACTTCAGAATGAACTCTCGTAGGGGTTGGCAAGGCTGAGAGGGTGACCCTGCATGTGGGGCTGGGATGGCATGGGAGAAAGTATCAGCAGAGGTGAGAGGGTTAGT